GAAAATTCATCTCTCTGTTGTTTTAAGAGTCACTGTATGAAGCCTACCTCAAAAGGCACAGGATAAGCACACGCTTTCGCAAGTTGGGGGTGTGGAATAAGTCACGCAGAGAAGGTTTTGTTTGTGTTGCCTCCAGCTCTTCCCTCATGGTGGTTCTCACAACCTTTAGCAAGAGCATCAAGAACTGTTTAGTTTTCACAAAATGATGAGCATTTTGGAACATACTGGGCACTCACAGAATGCCAGGTCAGAATCTACTATGTATTGTTGTTTTTACTCTTTCCTTGGGAGGCCTGCCACCCAGCTCCGAGATAAATCCCTCACGGAGGCTTATTTTTAATGATCAATATCTTGCCTTAGCTTTGCTTAGTTTCTGGCCAGATTTCCTTAACTTAAAATAACCTGACTACCTTTTACCTCTGGGCCTTTCTATTTCTCTAACTTCGTTAAGTGTGACTTTTACTCTGTTGCTTGCTGTGGAGATGGGAGGCTGGCCCCTGGGGTCCTCCTCCTATGGCTGCTCCATCTCCACCTCTCCTCCCAGTCTTCTCTTTCTCTATACACTCTCTGCTTACCAGCTCCATCTATCCTTTCTCCTGCGTTGCTGTTGGCCAGTTTTTTTTTATTAAACTATCAGGTGTTTTACACAGGCATGTTAACACAGCTTCACAGAGTGAAACAAATATTCTTAAAATTTTCTAAAATATTCTAAATATTCTGAAATATTCTACTGCAACTACTTCTGTCTAGTGAAAAACACAGACATCAGGGGACCTATGGCAAGCATAATAAAATGTTAAGAATTGAGAGCCAAGGAGATAAAGGAAACGTTTGTATTTCTAGAGAGGACCTTTTAAACAGTAGTTGGCTACAGAATGTTGACAGCAAATACAGAGTTATTTATATTCTGGTCCAAATCTCCATTCATATCATAATGAATTTGAATGATATAGCATCTTAGTATGGTTCTCTGATTTGTGCATTCATGTGAGTATGTGTGCATGTGTGCTTGTTTTCTTTGATTTATTCCCCCTTTTCTCATTCTTCTCTAATGATCATCCCATGTTTATTCATTCCCATCACTGATGGAAAAATAGACTCAGAAAAATGAATTCCTCTCAAGGTCTTTATGTCCATTTTGGAATCCTGATATTTGAAAGAATACATAGTGTGATACTGAGATGCTGGGTCTCTGGCTGGTTGTATGCTCAGAAGCTGAGGACCTCTCAGGAGGTAAAGCTTACCTCATGGGGAGCCTTTGAAGGTGGCAACTGTCTTTGGTTAGGGCTAAGCTTCTTGGCCCAAAATGATGTGATGAGTGTTTGCCATAAAATCCTGTCTCAGTATTGCCATGACTGTTCATGATTAACTGAATGTTGTGAATCAGTGATCCCAAATCCTTTTTATTCCATTTTGTTGTTTCTGTCATGAGGCTTGGTCACATCGATCTTGGTCACAGCAAAGCAAATGTAGCCAACAAAATAATTCAGTGCCATATGTGCAGTTGTTA